CTGAATGGAATAGTGGAATTGCTGAAGGAAAGGAGGAGAGGGTATAGCATGATTGCAAATCTCATGAGCCAAAGCATTCAGTTGATCCATTCCTTCTGCCCTCCACAAACAAAATCCCACAATCCCTTATCTTCTTGTTCACTAAGTGCTTTTAAGGACATGAAGTCTTGATTTACTCTTTTGTTAGTTTGATTTTTAACTAGAATTTACATTGATTGATCGACTCTCATATATTAAAAGACACTGCTCATTCACTTTGATAAATTATTTAATCCTGATAGCTGGGTGAGTTAGCATTATCATTATACTAATTTTACAGGAGTGCAAGTTGAGGGTTGCAGAAGATAAATAACTTTTCATTATCATAGCTGGTTAGTAGTGTAGGCCTGTCAGATTAAAAAAACATGTACATTTAACACCATTCTCTCCCCCTTATCTTCTGTGGTATATCTCTTCTGATTCTCCTTCTACATCAACAGTTATTGTTTTCACTCTTATTCTGGTTTCTTTTCTGCCACCCCTTGTAGATTGTGGCTCACTATTTTTGCTCTTCACTTTTCCTTAGATGATACCACTAATCTTGAGTCCTCAACCAGCACCTAGGTATTTGCAATCCCCTAATATAAAGCTATAACTAAAAACTGTCTCCAAGCTGGCATTTTTAAAATACTTATTGGTTAAATCCAATCAGATCTTAGCAGACATCTCAAGTCCTTTGCCCCGTATGTCATTATTTTCATCCATCTTCAACCTTCTTCCAAACCACTGTATTCTTTACTTAATTTTTTTTATTAAAAATAAACTCTTTTTTCCAATTATTTGTTAAAGTATGAACTATTTCAAACTTTATTTTAAATATGAATTACTTTGAACCCAGTGTAAGTTTTTAAATTTTATTAAAGTTTATATTCTTTATACTCAGCAAGGCTGCAGTGACCACCAATTTCTTCTTTTATTAACCACAGCATTAACAATTGATAATGTAATATTTATTATGTGAAGCGCTGGTTTTCCTATTCTCCTTCCTTCAGGCTCAAGATGAGAAAAATAAAATTCCCTGTGGTCTGAAGGTTTTAGTTTTCTGAGAAATATAAGACATAAAGAAACAAATATAAAATGATCAGCTTGCTCCTCTCATACAGACATCTACAGGATGCTCCTAGAGTGGACCAATAGGAGCAGTCCCCAAAATTTCAATTCTTTTCCCTTGCCACTACTCTGGGAGAAATCACTGATTAGCCAAAGCTTGGGGGCCATCATCATATTTACAAAAGTTTAGCCAATTTCATGAGTGAAAAATGAATTATTTTAATTGTTTTCTCCTGATTACTGTCTAGATTAAACATCTTTTCCTGTTAATGTTTTCTCTTGGAAGAATTAGCTCTTCATATTATTGTTAATTTTATATTGGATGATCTATTTTTTTTTCTGTTTATAAATAGGGGTCCTGGGCCGGCCCCATGGCTTAGCGGTTAAGTGCGCACGCTCTGCTGCTGGTGGCCCGGGTTCGGATCCCGGTCGCGCACCGACCCACCGCTTCTCTGGCCATGCTGAGGCCACGTCCCACATACAGCAACTAGAAGGATGTGCAGCTATGACATACAACTATCTACTGGGGTTTTGGGGGAAAAATAAATAAATAAAATCTAAAAAAAATAAAAATAAAAAATTAAATAGGGGTCCTTATTGCATTCTGCATACAAATTCCTTTCTTTTTAAACTCGTGCATATTACACCTGTTTTTCTTTGTATACCAAAGATTTGTGTCTTTATAAGAAAATGCAAAAAGAGGAAGGAAATTTTGAAAGCATCTAACCAAATATTCCCTGGGAGAGGAATTGTTAGCCAATAGACCATACAGTTTATGTCAAAGCTATTGTATAGTGAAGGTGAATCTATCAGGCTTGTATCAGTCAGGGTTCAACTGGAGAAGCAAAAGCAATAGGAAAGAGAGAGAAAATACACATGCACGAGGAATTGACTGATACGATGATTATGGACACTGGCTAAGCAAGTCTGAGAACAGCAGGGAGTTCATTCAGGGAGGGAAAACAGGAGCAGGCTGGAACCTAACAGGTAGAGGCAAAGATGTTGTCCAGAGGCAGTCAGGAGCAACCGGGTGAACGTAGACCCACTTGCTGTTTGGGATTTTATTCAGGGAATGCCTAAACCTTCCTTTAAAGGCCTCCTGTTGGTTAAATCAGGCCCACCTGGATAATCTCCCTAGCCTAGAATGAATATTAGGGACTTTAATTACATCTGCAAAATCCCTTCACAGCAGCACCCAGCTTAGTATTTGCTTGAATAACTAGAAGACATGTGAGTATGCTACAATGGCCCGTGCCCTCCTTACATCCCTGTAGTTTAACCTTGCCAGGTAGACACATCACAAAACCATCACAAGGCTACATACCATTAAGTACGAAAAAGTATAAAAAATGTTTCATTCTAGGTTCCCTACACAGAATCACCTACTGAGAGAGTGCCCTGAATATGCAATCTGTAACTCAATAAATGTATCATCTTAGTAAATATTTGTTATTGTAATGCTAATAATACTATAATGCTACTAATGCTGGTAAATTGAAATTTTGGTTTCTTAAATCACCCTCTGTGAGCTTGACTAACATCAGTGCATTTTTATTTTTAATTTTATATTCTTCAGTTTATGAATTGTTTTGTGGTGGTGGTTGTTGCCACGTGGATGCATTGGTTTTAAAACGTTAAAATCAGTTTAAACACACATACACATACACATACACACACATACACACACACACAAGATATCATGGACTAAATCGGTGTTTGCAAGTATCTCTATTGATATAATGTGCTCACTAGTATATAGTATTTTTTATTAAATTATTCTCCATATTATAGAACATTCAAGTTATATCTTATTTATTTATTTAGCTGTTGAAATTAACGTCACAGTATATATCCCTTTGTGTATATCCTTGTGTGTGTGAGAAATTCTGTATGAAAGTTTCCTGGAGATGATATTGCTAAGGATATTGTTAAAGGATCTGTGAACATAATGTTTTGAGAGTTATCTCCGGGCTGTGCAGTTAGAGTGGGATGGCCCTGCTCTGGCTGGAGTGGTCTGACTCCTCTGAGCTTATGTCCTAAACCATCCATTGAACGAGAAGGAGTGCAGCGGGTGGGCACAACTCAGATCCAGGCGAATTTCGTGGTCACAAGTTCCCTGCAGCCCCCAGCACCAGGAACCAGGACTGCACCACCTGCGGGGATCTGGTTGTTTAATGCTCTGGGAAACAATTGAGAACAAGGTCCTTAATAAACAGGTTTAATAAATAGGGGCCTGGAGAATAGGATTATAGGGTCTGGGGTTCAGCAGGAGCACATCATGTTGCATCCAGCAATTAGGGAGAGTATAGGAACCAGGGTGTGGTGGGGAAGACTGGAAGCACAGTTAGAAGAGGAACCAGAACACACCCATGTGCCTGCACATGTACACACACACACAGGCACACGCACGCACACGCACATAAACACACACACAGCTCCTCTGGCTGAGATTCCAAATTCCTTTCCTGGTTGCTGGGGAAGCAGGAGCCAAGTGGTAAGCAATACGCAGGGGCCTTGGCTTTTGGCTACAAAGGAGTCACAGCAAACTCTTGTGAGCTGGTTTGTGGCCCCTACTTTTCAGCGTTGTCATCGGCTACTCTGTATCTGAGGGTCCTGCAGCCCTAACCCGAGGACTGACAGAGCACCTGGAGGTACTGAAAAGCTGTTGGGGGCTGGCACTGTCTGTGGCTGGAGAGAGTTTTAATGGGTGTCAGTAGCACTTGCAGATAGTATGTAAATTATCTTTCAGTTTAAAAATGATGTTGATCTTGTGTCATTCTATTATTATTATTTGGGTCTTGTAAAATAAAGTTAACTATTTTCTGGAAATCTAATCAGACTGATAATACTTGAGGTTTTCTTTGGCACAAAAACTTGGCCCCCAAAAGTGGATTAGAATTCACCAGTGAGAAAATTGCCCTTGGTTGCTTAACAAGAGATTATTTCTGCATCCAAAGTTATTTTTTTTTTTTAAGAAGAAAGGAAATAAGAGAAATAAGTATTGTTTCTTTGAAAGATCATGTGACAGGAGTCAAAACACTTCCAATCATTTTTCCAGAAATTTATAGTCAAATATGCAATGTTAAAAATGTATTAAATGTATTTGTATTTTATCACCTCTTTTTAATTTTATTTTTTATTTATACATATGGATTTCACTATTTTATTATTTTTGTAACCTTTTAAAAATGTAAATAATATTGAATTCATTTAGCTTTATGTTGTTTTCTTTGGAAAAATATTTAACTAAATTTGTAAGTTGATCTACGGAAAAACTTTGAGTATATAAAGGTAGAGCTGGTCCCTGGATTCAGCAGGCGCCTGAATTCTGGCTCAGGGGTGCATGCCATGCAGGCCCAGGGCAGATGGGCGCCAAGTTCAAGAGAGAGGTTCGGCACTGCCCCTGGATCCAGCAAGCAGCTACGGGAGCAAGCCTGGCTCCGACAAACCCAGTTCAAGTGCTAGATGGGGACTGGGATCTTCTGGTCTCCTTGGACTAAACTCAAGAAATCCTCATTTCACTGAGGCTGCCTAGGCAGTGAAGAGCGCCACGTGGGCGGGGCTCGGGGACAGAGACCCAAGCTCTTCCAGACACAATGCCTCAGACACAGGGTCCCAGGGAGCTTGTGGTACAAGAGAGAGCTCCCATCACCCAGGGACTGAATCTCAAGAGGGTCGGAGGAAAAGCCTTAGGCTCCATTCGCCCCAGAAAGTCCCCAGGAGTAGCCACTGCCCAGGGACTTTAAGGCCTAAAAAGAGCGGTTCTCCAGGAGCTCACGAAATGTCCTGGTGTGCAGAAGGGACTGGCAGTGTCAAGGAATCCCGGCGGCTTCTTCAGAGAGTGGACACGGAAAGAAGGTGGTCCGAGTGTCCCCACAGAGGACGGATCAGCAGGGGTGTGTGCCGGGCCCCTAGAGGCCCAGCCCTGGACTCAGGAGGGGGAGCCTGCGGGGACCCTCGGCGGGGACCCTGTGGCTCTTTGCTGCGTGGTCCTGGGGCTCCCTGGCCCCACCCCCATCTCTGCCAGCGCTCAAACTTTGACAGCTTCGCGTGCCTTTCTCTGGAGCCTGCTCCTGCTCCTCCCTGAGGACCCAATGGGCTCCTTCACTCTGTGCATCTGCAGGGAACACAGGAGGGGGCCCAGTGCAGCCTGAGGTCCCTGGTGGGGAGCAGGCGGGAGGAAGCGGCAGGGCGGTCCTTGAGCCTCTCTCCTGCACTTTTCCACACTCAGTATCTGCACCCCTCTCCCCCAGCGTCTGCAGTCTGAGGGGACCCAGGTCGGCTTGGCTCCTGGCCTGAGAGGGCAGGGTAAGTTGGTGGGACTGCTGCCCAGAAAAGACCAGGAACCCCTGTGCTTGACTGAAAGAGCATCTGGGGGCAAGGAGAGGGGAGAGCGGGAATCCTCCGAGGTGGAAAAGGTGACATCTGCATTTCTTGTGGTGTTTGCCCAGAGCTGGTCCTTCTCAATGTGAAGAGATCAAACGTTCAGGCTGGGAAGGTTCAGAAAAACCAGGTCTAATTAAACGGAGCATCTGAGTCTCACAGCCAAAAAGCCAGAAATGCATCTGGGGCTGAGTTGCTAGGTCCCTGGCTTCAATTCCATTTCTAGGGTAAAAGAGGAAAAAGCTGTGTGGAGATCAGTAACAATGCTGCCCACTCTCTTGGTCAGTTCTTTCATCAATTGACATTATTAGATTGGGAAGGAACAAAGAAGTCAACTTACCATTTTTTTTTGAACCACCTGTAAGCCAGGCATTTTATAAGCACTAAATCTAATCTTCACTTACATCCTATAAGATTGTAATTTTGTTCCCAGTTCAGGAATCAAAACTTCCCCTCCCCAGCTCCAGTGCATGAGTCCTGAGGGACAGTTCCACAGAGAAGGCAGAGGTCACAGGCTCCGGGGTGTCCCCTACCACCTCTGGCAGGCAGAAGATGAGGAGAGCACAATTTCCCACATCAGGAAACTCAGTCTAGTCCAGTGTGCCCCTCACAGCCCAATCACCTCGTTATTGATTCCAAGAGCCTTAATTGCATGGAGTTCCTCTGGGAGTGGATTTGGGGTTTAGAGTGGAGCCAGAAAGTTCTGCACAAGATCCCTTTTTTCCAACCAATTCTATTTTGTATTGGGGAGGCAAAGAAAGAGGGAAGGAAATGAAAAAGGAGAGGGAGAAGAGCCCGTCAATTTGATGTAGACGCCCTGCCCTTCTGCTGCACAGCTCGCTGTACTGCCCTGCAGGGTGTGAACAAAGCTCAGTTGGAGTC